TATATATATATTTTAATTTTTTAATTTAAGCAAAGACTAAAATCAGCCATTTGATGCTGCAGGGGCCAGCCAGGATCTGGGAGGGGGGCAGTCTGGAGAGAAGGAGAGAGGTGCAGGTTGCCTTGGGCAAGTTCAGGTCAGGAGAAGTGGAGGCTAGCACCTGGGGCAGGCGCCAGCCTGGGCACCGATGGCCACCCCCTGTCCTGTGTGTGTTTCCACCTCCCGACCTGGCTTGTCCCTGCAGTGCGTGAATGCCACAGGCTGGTGGGAGCCTCCGGAGACCCCTCCCTGCCCCACCAGGCACAACCAGGTGCCAGAGACCACCAGGCCCATGGGGCAGGAAGCCCGCGTCCACCCCGCCCCAGCAGTCCCCTCCTGCCCATTCCTGGCTCCCGGCTCCTGCCCCTGCCCAGGGCTCCCCACCTCCATGGCCCACCTCATTTTCTGTTCTCATTTTACAGAGTTGCACAAGGAGAGAACTCAGCATGGGGGTTGGTTCTTTGGGTTCTGTTTGTTTATTTGTTTAATTTAATGATTTGTATAGTGATGTTCCTCTTCCTTTTTTACACTTTTCAGCTCACATTTAACCTCTGTTTGGAAAATGATTCTTGTAACTGTACATTTTTTTGCCTCCTAATAACAACAACAACAACAAAAATAAATGACCAATTTTGTGTTGGGGGGTTGTGCGATGCCGGTTATTTTTCTGCAGATGGCATGGATGGACCAGCAGGCCCCCAGGGACACCCGCACACCCCCGCTCACAGAGCACAAACAGCCACAGAGAGCCACACCCACAGAGAGCAAGGCACGTGCTGGCCCTGGGAACACAATGGCGCTGCACAAAACACCCTCCCACACGTGTCTGGACTCTTGTGCTGCCTCCTTCTCATTCTCCTCTCAGGTTTTGAGCCGGCGGCTGCCAAGTGGTGCTCCAGGATCTGTTGAGGGAATTGCCCAGGGTGGGGTCACCGCAGCAGGAGAACAGGGCTGGATGCTGTTTACTGCTCAGACTGGGCCTCTCCTCCCTTACAGCCAGCTCTGTCCTCAGCCCTTCTTTCCCGTGTCTGGAACCTCCCCTGCAGCCGGGCCGGGCCAGAACCAGAACTCTGGCCCAGCCCCACCCCCAGTCCCTATCCGCGTACTGGCTGATTGTCCTGGGGGCCGGGGGTGGGGCTGGGCCTGCAGGGCCTGGCGGCTTCTCCTTTGCCTCCCCCTG